TGTTGCACATCTTTCTTAATTTTAAACCATTCAGTGTTCCCATGTTCTGTTTGAACAACTGCCTCTTGGTCCAAGTACAGATTCCTCATGAGCACAATTAAGTGTTCCGGAATACTCATCCGTTCTTCTTCAAGTTCCTAGCCCATGTACTGACTTTTCTACAATGTTGGTACTCAATTTGATATTAGGAGCCCTAGTGGTGCAGTGGTTAAGCACTCAGCTGCTAGCCAAAACAGGAGTAGTTTGAAGCCACCACTAGCTATTCTGTGGAAGAAAGCCTTAGCAGTCAGATTCCATAAAGATTTACAGCCTTGATAACCCTAGGGGACGCTTCTACTCTGTTCTGTAGGATCGCCGTGAGTCCGGATACATAGCAATGGGTTTGATTTGGTTTAGGGTTTAGTGGCACAAAGGTTACGTAACCTAAGAATTTCTTTGCCAGAGACTCTAAGAGTTGGGATCATCTCAGTGGCACCAAACAACAAAAAGTGTGATATTAATATATATCGTTCTGAGAAACACATTCTTCACATATGTTACTGTTCATTTGATAAGCCAGACTATTGCTTGGCTGCAAGGTGATGCTTGGGGGTGGGTTCAGTTCCATGTTTGAAGGATGTCTGTAGGCCACAGGCTGGGATTACAGCAATCTTGATCAGACCAGTAAGTCTTTGTTTTGTTTTGTTTTTAATTTTATTTTGATTTTGTTCTGTATTTTCCTCTCATTCTGTCCTGGACTGTTTGTGTTCCAGATCAGAGTGATTGGTAATGGCAGCTAGGCACCATCTAGTTCTTCTGATCTCAGAGTCATAGAGATGTGTTTCATGCAGTGTTTTAGCCCTTTGGACTAATTTCTTCCTTGAGTCTTTTTCTTCACTCCTCTCTACTCCATGTCCAGATCTATCCTATCCAAAGAGATTAGGTCTGTAATTTCAAACAGACTTAGAGAGTTAAGGAAACATCGTAAGAAAGTTCCAGTGTGGTGATAATGTTGTTAGGTATATTTGAGTTGGTATTGATTCATAGCTACCCCATGTACGACGGAATGAAATGCTGTCCATTTCTGCAGCATTCTCACCATTGTTAACTATATTTGAGTCCACTATTTACTGTGTCTGCATCTGTTTGAAATTAGAGATGTAATCTCCTTGGGTATGATCAGAAATAGATTCACTTTATAATATGATATAATGTTGATTATCAAGCATGGCAACAGTAGTGAGGTCGGCCCAGGATCGGGCAGTGAGTGTTTCATTTGCTGCACATAAGGTCACTATGAGTTGGTACCGATTTGATGGCACCTAACAACAACAGTAATATTGATTGGATTTCTATTGTATGAAGAAAGTAAGAAATGTTTCTGTGAGGTCTGTACACAGACTTCATTTCTCACTTAATCCATTTGCATCTTGTCTACGGTATGATAATCAACTTTTAATGACTTTGATAAATTATAGTCATTGTCTTTTTCAAATTTCTTCATTTCCTTTTCTAATTAAAGTTTGTTTATTGTGTTTTCTCTAAGCATAAGGAAGAAAATATCCGTTGCTTAACAATGCTTGACCATTTTGGCTTTGAATGTCTGCCCCTTCAGTTGGTGAACAAATCTATTCAACAAGGATTCTCTTTTAATATTCTCTGTGTGGGTAAGTGCCAGCTGCCTCATTGGAATGCTTGCTTTGTCTGCCCCAATGCCCATTTCTAGGCAACTGGTCTTGAGCAGCTTGGTGTGTGTACTTTCAGTTCTAGATGGTATCTACACGTTTGTATCAGTTTTGACTTTATTCGCCATAGTACTTAAACAGTTTCCTCTTTCTTTACCTTTTCAGTGTTTCCAAATTTTTGACATAGCCTATACATATAATTTTCCTCATTCTACATTATGGTTGGAGTGCTGGTGTAGTGCCATTGGATAAACACTGGACCTCCAGATTTGTTTGAACCACTAGGTCTGCGGTTCAAGCTCACCAGCTGCTTCTCAGAAACCCTATACAGGGGTCACTACAAGTCACACACAACGTGACAGCACTTAACAAAAACAAACATTATGCTAATGACTGAGGCAGTTCTAACATGTATACTTTGTGTGTGTGATTTTGGTGAAGAGTTGCATAGCAAATTAATTTTCTATTCAACAATTCATACACATTTTGTTTCATGACATTGATTGCAATCCTCACCATGTAACAGCAAGCTTCCCACTTCTCCCCTGTGTTTGCTGGTTTCTATTCATCCTTATTTCCTCCCCACTTCTGCTCTGAGCTTTATCCCTGGGTGAATGCTGTCCTTTTGATGTCTTATGGTTAATTGTTATAAGGATCACATATATACTTTGAAAGATATACTAACATTGGAAGTATTTAGGAATCCTGATAAGGCCCTGTAGGATAAGCACTGGACTGCTCACTGCAAGGTTGGCAGTTCAAAGCTACCAATGGCTCCTTGGTGGTGGTGGTCATGTGCCGTGGAGTTGGTTCTAACTCATAGCAACTCTGTATGGGGTTTCTGAGGCTGTAAATCTTTATGGGAGCAGAAAGCCTCATCTTTCTCCCACGGAACAGCTGGTAGTTTCGAACTGCTGACCTTGCAGTTCACAGTCCGATTCGTATCCACTCCACTACCAGAGCTCCTTAATGGCCCCTTAGAAACTCTATATATTCAAGGTCGCTATGAGTCAGAACTGACTTGACAGCACTTAACACCACCACAAAACCTCTATAGGCCTTCAGTCTATTTCTTCTAAGTCGTCAAATATCTTTATAACAGTGATTGTGTTTTTTATAGGGGAAACTGGAATTGGAAAAACAACACTGATTGACACATTGTTTAATATTAATTTTAAAGAACACAAATCCTCCCATTTTCACCCAAATGTTGGACTTAAAATCCAGACATATGAGCTCCAGGAAACTAACATTCAGTTGAAATTAACTGTCGTGAAAACAGTGGGCTATGGTGATCAAATCAATAAAGAAGCCAGGTGAGTGTCCTCTTGTTTTAAACAAGATCTTCTTTCTTTAAAATATACTTATGAGTATAACATTGTAATGATTTGAAACAATTATAATTTGTAACAAAACAGGCAGTTCTGAATATAAAGAAATGTCTTGAGAAATAACCAGTATTAAGATTTTGGATGATATGTATAGATCAATAGATAATACTTAAAAAAAAAAAAGTCATCAATATGGTTTCATAAAAGTGTATATGGTAGTAACTCTCATATATTGGACATTTTTTATTTTTTGGCATTCCTAAGAATTATTGTCAAGAAAACAAAAATCCTCACCACTGGACCAATAAACAACATTCTTATCAATGGAGAAAGGATTGAAGTTGTCAAGGACTTCATTCTTCTTGCATCAACTATCAACAATCGCGGAAGTAGCAGTCAAGAGATCAGACGACGTATTGCACTGGGCAAATCTGCTGCACAGGAACTTTTTAAAGTATTGAAGAGCAGAGATGTTCAGCTTGAGGACTAGGGTGCGCCTGACCCAGGCCATTGTGTTTTCAATAGCCTCATATGGATGCGAAAGCTGGACAGTGAATAAAGAAGACCATAGAAGAATTGATGACTTTGAGTTACGGTGTTGGAGGAGAATACTGAGGGTGCCATGGACTGCCAAAAGAACCAATAGATCTGTTTTGGAAGAAGTGCAGCCAGAGTGCTCCTTGGAGGCCAGGATGGCTAAGCTTCATCTCTCCTACTTTGGACATGTAGTCCGGAGGAAACAATGGTTGGAGAAGGATGTCATGCTGGGTAGGGTGGAGGGTCAGAGAAAAAGAGGAAGACCTCCAACGAGATGGATTGGCCAGGTGGCATCATTGATGGACTCGGGGGTGGCAGCGGTGGTGAGGTTGGCCCAGGATCGAGCATTGTTTCGTTTGCTGTGCATGGGGTCGCTATGAGTCGGTTCCGACTCGATGGCACCTGACAACAACAACAAGAATTATTAACCCTATACAGCGTCGCTATGGGTCAGAACTGACTCAATGGCACTTCACAACAACAACAACAAGAATTATTAAACAAGATTTTCTTACTTCAAAGAATTTTAATTGTAATTCTTCCTAGTTTTGCATTTTCTCTAAGTAATATGCAGTTGAGACTTTTGTATCCAATTGTTTGAACTTCCTACAAGCTTTTGAATTAACCAGTTATAGTTGATTTGTTCATGTATTTTCTGTTTCTGTTTGAGGTTATTCTGGTATTTCTCCTCTGGTATTATTATGAATGCTTTTGTTGCTTCTGAGTTAGATTTAAACTGTGAACAAGGAAAATAAATTGTGTCATTGCTTCCTTTGAAGACATACATACATTTATGTAATTCTCCTGGTTACCTAAAGTTAGTTTTAGAGTGAATATATATTTGATATATTGCCTTGTTTATATAACTTATGGATTCCTGGAGTGATGCTGTAGGGATAGCATTGGACTGTGAACCACAAGGTGGACCGTTCAAACCCACCAGCTACTCTTTGGAAACCTTGTACAGGGTCGTTATGAATCAGAACTGACTCTAACGGCACTCAACAACATAACATTTACTCAGTATAGAGATAAAGTGATGTTTAATTATAATTTGTGGTACTGAGAGAGTAAGTAAAAGATAAACCCTTGGTTGCTTAGTGGACCCATTAGCTAAGATTAGAAAGTATAGGAGGAGTGATGTTCATATTTTGGGGGCAGTGGTAATGTTCTGAAATAGATTTCGTTTTATTCAAAGTACTGCCATCACGGAAGCAGCAGTCAAGAAATTAAATGACGTATTGCATTAGGCAAATCTGCTGCATAAGACCTTTTTAAAGTCTTGAAGACCAAAGATGTCAACTTGAGGACTAAGGTGCGCTTGACCCAAGCCATGGTATTTTCAATAACCTCATATGCACGTGAAAGCTGGACAGTGAATAAGGAAGACCGTAGAAGAATTGATGCTGTTAAGTTATGGTGTTGGAGGAGAATATTGAAAGTGCCATGGGCTGCCAAAAGAACCAACAGATCTGTGTTGGAAGAAGTGCAGCCAGAGTGCTCCTTGGAGGCCAAGATGGCCAAACTTCGTCTCTCATACTTCAGACATATTGTCAGGAGGGACCAGTCACTGGAGAAGAAGATCATGTTTGGAAAGGTGGAGAGTCAGGGAAAAAGAGGAAGACCCCCAGCGAGATGGATTGGCCAAGTGGCAGCATCAATGGGCTCAACTATGGCAACAATTGTGAGGTTGGCCCAAGATCGGGCAGTGTTTCGTTCTGTTGTGCATAGGGTTGCTATGAGTTGGCATGGACTCGATGGCACCTAACAACAACAACAACTGCCATCAAGTTGATTCCAGCTCATAGCTACCCTATAAAACATAGCTACCCCATAGGGTTTCCAAGGCTGTAACTCTTTAATGAAGCAGACTGCTTCGTCTTTCTCAAAGCAGATAGTAGGTTGGAACTGGTGACCTTTTGGTTAACAGTTAGTACTCTAACCACTTTTTCACCAAGACTCTGATTTCATTTTTTGTTGTTTTTAAGTGCTGTTGAGTCAGGGGCATATACATTTGCAAGCAGAGATTATAGTTCAGAATTGAAATTTATTTCAATTCACTTTGAATTTACAGAGACAATGGAAAATATGAATGAATGTGTGTAGAAAGAAGGACAAGAGAGTGTGGGAGTGAATGTCAAGACATTCCAATATCTTTGTTTGAAGAACTCTTTCCAATGAACATGCGGAGTGATTACAGTAATTTGAAGACAATCAGGAGAATGAGATGCAAGAGATGCCTAGGAAAAGAGAAACTCCCCAAAGGAAGTCATGGTTCTATGATTTGTTTCTGTGAGACACACTCATTGGATTGATTTATGGAGAAATCATTGGCAATGTCAGTAAAACGCATTCATAAAGAAATCATTAGCGATTTTCGAAAGTGAAAGCGTGAGGGAAGAAAATGTGAAGAAATGGTGTCTGTACTTCCAGTTTGATTGTCAAGTAAGAGACAGGAAGTAGGAGAATTTTGTTTCAAGATGAAAGAGACATGATGAGCTTAAATAATGACATGGATTGTGGAGAGATGTTACTGGTTGTTATTAAGCGCCATCCAACTGGTTCCAACTCACAGAGACCCTGTGCAGGAGAAGGAAACACTGCCCAGTTCTATGCCATCCTCACAATTGTTGCTGTGTTTGAGCCCATTGCTACTGCCACTGTGCCATTCCATCCATCTCATTGAGGGTCTTCCTCTTTTTCATTGACCCTCCACTTTACCAAGCATATTTACCACTTCACCAAAGACTGGTCCCTCCTAACAATATACCCAAGATCTTCACTGGTAAAGGATGCTTAGTGTATAATTAATAACAGATTTCCCAGAAAACAGGAAAGAAAGGGGATCTATTGGAGACATTGGTCTTAACTAAGGATAGAGATGATTCTTCAATTTCATAGTAGAGAAGCACTAGCCAGTAGACGTGAATGCAGGAATAGTTGTAGATATTTGTGTGATAAACTAAGGGAATTTCTCAAATGACATCATTTATCTACTTATTAGAAGGTAATCCTATCTATCGAAAGCAAGGAAATGTGGTGGAAATTTGGGGACATTCCCATGCCTAATCTGTCAGTCGGAACTCTGGTAGCATAGTGGTAACAAGTCGGGCTGCTAACCTCAAGATCAGCAGTTCAAAACTACCAGCAGTTCCACACGAGAAAGAGGAGGTTTTCTGCTCTGTAAAGCCTCAGAAACCCTATACATGGTTGCTATGAGTCAGAACCGACTCCAAAGCACACCACCACCACCATCTGTGAATTTGTTGTACTCTGGTGGCTTGTGTGTTGCTGTGATGCAGGAAACTATGCCCCTGGTATTTGAAATACCAGTGGTGTCAACCGATGGAGGGCAGGTTTCAACGGAGCTTTCAGATTAAGACAGACTAGGAAGAAGGAGAGGCAGATGACTTCTGAACATTTAGCCACTGAAAACCTTAAGAATATCAGTGGACCATTGTCAGATATAGTGCCGGAAGACGAAAACAATCTGAATAGCACCAGAATTGTAGCGCTGAAGGCTAATGTGCTGAACTGGAAGGTCAAAGGTCAGTTTGAACTGCAAGGTCAGTGGCTCAAACTCACCAGTTGCTCCTCAGAAATCTTACACAGGGTCCTTGTGGGTCGGACGGTTCACGACAGCACTTAACAACTACAATAACATTGTCAGATATTGTGCTGAAAGATGAGCCAGATGGATTAGCACGGTGACAGCAGCAATGAACTCAAGTGTAACAACAATTGTGCGGTTGTGCAGAACCAGGCAGTGTTTCGTTCTGTTGTGTGTAGGATTGCTAGGAGTTGTAACCAACTAGATGGCTCCTAACAACAGGTGAGATTCCAGAGGCATAGAGAAGATTTGAAATGTTTATGGAGCATGACCGTTTGCCAATTTGTCATGGGGCAGTAGTGGCTTGTGTGTTTGCTATTTCAAATACCAACAGGGTCACTTATGGAGGACAGGATTCGGCAAGGCAGATAGGCTTATTGATCTGCTTCTGAAAATCCACCAACGAAAATATTATGGATCACGATTATATTGTCCAACATAATGTCTACAGATGAGGCCCTCACTCAGAATATGACTCAGAAAAACTTGCCTCATCAATCTTGGTGACACAATGGAATAAAGCCTTCATGACCTCATCTCCTGATGTGGCATGTGAAAAAGGAAGACAGAGGAAGTTGATGCATTTGAATTGTGGTGTTAGTGAGGAACACTGAATATTTGTGGTCTGCCAGAAGAAGGAACAAGTCAATCTTAGAAGAAACAATCAGAACGCTCCTTAGAAGTAAGAATAGTAAGATTTCTGCTTGCTTATTTTGGATGTGTCATCAGGAAAAAGACCAATCTCGAAAAAACAATCTTATATTTGATAAAATTGACTCACAGCAAACAAAGGGAACTCCTTAATGTTATGGAAAGGAGCTCTGGTAGTGTTGTGGTTACGAATCAGGCTGCGAACCTTAAGGTCAGCAGTTTGAAACTACCAGCTGTTGCACAGGAGAAAGATGAGGCTTTCTGCTCACGTAAAGATTTACAGCCTCAGAAACCCTGTACAGGGTCGCTATGGGTCAGAATCGACTCTATAGCACATAACAACAATAATGTTATGGAGTGACACAATAGCTGTCAACAGTGAACTCAAATCTACCGATGATGGTGAAGATGGCTCAGGACCAGGTAATGTTGAATTGTGTTTACATAATGTTGCCATGGAGTCAACCCAGTGGCAAGCAACAACAGCATTAATAATGTAAAGCACACAGGTCTTACTCTTGTTTTGAACTGTTATCTGTATGAAAATATTATGTCCATTATGGTTTACTACTATGGCATACTGTTTAGCATACATGTTATCTGTACCAACATGATGAAAATTCAGACTTCAGATTTTATGAACGTGTTATGCTAAATGTTCAAATAATCATCCTTTTCAGCTACCAACCGATCGTTGACTACTTAGATGCGCAGTTTGAGGCCTATCTCCAAGAAGAATTGAAGATCAAACGTTCTTACGTCAAATACCACGACACACGTATTCATGTGTGCCTTTACTTCATTGCACCGACCGGACATTCTTTGAAGTCACTGGATCTACTAACCATGAAGAAGATCGACAGTAAGGTGTGTTTGGAAACTCCATTAACCTTTCAAGATTTCATATTTATATATTGTAACTTTTTATTGTGAATTTAGTGAAGAGTTACAGAGTTGGAGGCCAAGATGGCAAAACTTCGTCTCTCATACTTTGGACATATTGTCAGGAGGGACCAGTCGCTGGAGAAGGATATCATGTTTGGTAAGGTGGAGGGTCAGAGAAAAAGAGGAAGACCCCCAATGAGATGGATTGGCCAAGTGGCAGCATCGATGGACTCAAGCGTGGCATCAATAGTGAGGTTGGCCCAGGATCGGGCAGTGTTTCATTCTGCTGTGCTTAGGGGTTGCTATGAGTCAGTACCGACTCAATGGCTCCTAACAACAGCAATATATCATAAATTTTTTGTTCATCTTTAAAGCAGTTAATGAATTTCAATTTTAGCTTACTGCCTAGAGAAATTTAAAACTGTATCTGCTTGGAAAATGAGATGTATAAGAAAAATTACGATAAAAATTTAATTCATTCTTTTCCTGTGATTAAATGATAATTCATATCATAATTATTTGCCCATAGCTTTAAAACGAAACTCACTATAAGATATTATCATGTAAAAGAAGATGGTTAAGGTCTAATATTCAGTAATATATTGTATAAAATGCGTTTTTAATAAGAAATCCATTTTTTTAATACCCAATTTTTTAATGTCTTAATCAAGACTTAAGGAGCTCTGGTAGCAGTGGTTAGAAATCGGGCTGCGAACCTTAGGTCGTCAGTTCGAAACTACCAGCTGTTCTGGGGAAGAAAAATGAGGCTTTCTGCTCCCGTAAAGATTTACAGACTCTGAAACCCTGTGCAGGGTCGCTATGAGTCAGAACTGACTCCACGGTACTTAACAACAACAACAACAATCAAGCCTTACATATGCATATGTAGTATTCATTCCAGGGAAAGTCAGAAAACATTGGTACAGAATCATGTGGTGGTTAGACTCAATGGCACACAACCACCACCACCATCAAAAGGTGGATCCGGATGCTGACCGTCAGGATATCCCCTGCGGGTTTCAACCGCAGCTTGCTTTCATCTCCGAATTTTGAGGCAGGCACTAACAATCGCAGGCGGTGGTGCGCGGCATCGAGGGGCGGTCTACCCAGGCCGGAGTTCCTGTGTTCAAGCCATCGGTCCTTGGCACGTGGACCCTGGAGGGTGGAGGGCAGTGGGCCAGGGGTACCCAGGGATATATACCCAGGGGAGTCCATCCTTCTCACCGACTTCTACTCGTACCCATGCGGCCTGAAAGACTCCGTGTCTATAGTGTGCGCCTGCCTCCGCTAGGGCATGCTCGACTTCATTGCTGACCGCCTCAGTCAGGGCCTGGGTGCACCTGTGGAGTACCCTCAAGGTGAATAAACATCTGCTGATGGTCTAATGATCTCTAAAAAGAGTTTCTTTCCATCATGGCTTGGAGAAACAGGTTATGACAGAAATAAAGTGTGCCGAAGTCGCATTCTTATAGTACGATCCAAAGATGTGTCCTTCCAGCTGTTTAGGTGCATCAGGTGTTCTTGAGAATCTAGAACTGAATGGGCTGGTTCTGAGACAGAAAGAGCTGGGAGAGAGAGACTTAACCGGGTTAACAAAAAGATTGAATAAAGCGGCTTCTTTGGCACACCTGTCTCTTGCAAGTTGTCTAATAGGAGATGGAAGTACTCTGTCATCCTGATGACTGTAAACTTCGCAGGGTGTAATCTGACATGGAGTGTGGCACTGCATGTTAATGCACTGGACCGCAAGGTCCGTTGAATGAAGTCTGCGGTTCAAACTCACCAGCCACTCACTTCTCGGAAATCCTGTGCAAGGTCTCTATGAATCGGAACCAACTCTAAGGTCCTTAGCAACAACAACAATCTGACATCGCAAGGAGTAGATCACACGGTCAAGATACTAAATATCAGACCATGAGAAGGTATAAAGAAACCGGAGCTAAGAGTCTGCATTGTAGAAGCCCTGGTTTTGACTGTATGGCTGGAGTAAGACTTCACTTTCAATTGCAGCATGCTCATAGATGACCTAGGTATACATAAGCTTTTACAGAATCTCTTAGTGAGGATTTATGGCTTAGAGCATTCGACCTGCAGCAGTGTGGCTTCACCAAATAAAGAAGCAAAGGCTTTTCTAAAGGCCCTTGAAACTAACAGAACTTTGGTCAACCTGGATATAAGAAAAAATCCACTTCCTGATAATTCTGTGATGAAAATAGTTATCAAAAAAGTTCTCCAGAATGGATAGAGTGCTAAGTCGGAGTATTAGTGAGAAACGTCTCCATCAGTCAGGGACTCATCTAAAACTGTTAGACAGAGAAAGAGAGCTATAATTCTTGGAAGTGGTCGAAAAGGAAAAGCTACTATTTGAATTGGATTGACTACAAGGAAACCTGTAAACAACAAAAGACACACATAGTATTCTTGGTAAAGAATACTATGCTGCTACCACCTGGTGTGTCTGGTTTTCTGCAGAACGTGCATAGAGGAACAGGGGTCTTCCATTAATCAAGAGTTTTGATATCTATAAACATTTGCAGTGGTCAGATTTTCCTGTGACTGTAACAGTATAAAGTCTGTCATACTCAGAGACAGAAGTTAAGGGTTCTTCAGAAAGTGTGCACGAAGTTCCTGAGAAACTGAGTATAAAACAGGAAACTTTGCAGGGGAAATTGAAAGAGTGCCTAAAGCACTACAGGTGAATCAATGAGCTGGAATAGGAAAATACCAAGTTAAGAAATACAAACTTTTCTTTGTCTGAAGCCCATCGTGCACAGCCATTGACATGGTCAACGAATGATGCTGGTATTAAGAGCAGCATTTAGAACTCTTTCTTGGATCTCCTCAGAGATGCTGGGTTTGGACAGCTTGCCACAATGGCTGGTATAGATCAATCCGATTTTCACTTTACTAGATCATCCCCAGATTAATTCTACTACTAGTGATGCAACCAAAGAAGGAAAAAGCGGGCACGTGAAGAAGAAAACCCAGAATCTGAGCAGAATGGTCTGGGACAAATGCAGAATATTCAAGTTTCTATTTCTATGCAGTCAGCTCACAACGAAGGAACACTAATGAGGTTTCAGAAAATTGCTGGTGATTCTAGAATTCCTTTGCCTATCAATTCCTTCCGTGTCCCAGTTTCTGCTCAGGAGGCCTCACTAACTTCCAAACACAACTTGGATGGCTCAGATACTGAAAAGTAGTAGGAATCTTTTGAAGAATTTCTTGCTAGAGCATGTTTTCCTCTAACAGATGCAATTTTGGGAACTAGAAGTCAAAGCAAAGAGTTGTCTGGAAGTAGTACATATTCTTTTGAAAATAAGGACCCAAAGAGGTGACTATTACCAAAAAAGATCAACTCCACTAAGAAACAATATGAAGCAGATCTGCATTTCTACTCTAACTTTACGGTAAACTGGAAAGGCAAAGGAGTCAGGGGTAATATTTCTTTGGTTAATGAATGAATGAAAAGTGAGCCTTTGATAAAACACATTTCTGCCAAGAAAGAAGGTGACTGTTTCATCTAAGACAAATAAAAGTAAACCCAGTCCACCTAGAACATTCTGAAAGCCATGCTCTTGGACCTGATTTTGAATTTCAAAAAAGTATCCGTACTCCATCACACTTGATATAGATCTAAATCTTTTGACATTATGTTTTTGCCTTCAAATTTCAATACATTTTTTTTTTACATTAAAAAAAAAAAATCAAAACACGAACCTATTGTTTGATGACATCCTGCATTAAAAGCTATACATTTCTGGAGGTACTATTTTTATCTAACTCCTTTCCTGATGAATTCTGTACTCTTCAATTTCTACCATGTCAAAACAGCCATTTTGGTGTCCTCGTGAGACTCAAATTGTGTTTCTTTTCAATGTTCTTTGAGTTTGGGGCACAAAAAGAAGTTTGAAGGGGAAAGATCAGGGCTGTAGGCTGGCTGGGGAAGGTTTTCCTATAAAATTCTATAGGACATCCCTTTGTATCCTTGAAGAATGAGCAGGTGTGCTGTCATGATGGGGAAAAAAATTCCTTGGTGCAACTTTCCTGGCCTTTTTCTCACCGATGCAGTTTTCAATTTCCTTAAAACTTCTTCGTAATAAGCCGCTGTGATCATCCTGTGTCCTTCAAGAAAATCTATCAAGAGACCCCTTTGGAATCCCAAACAATAGTTGACATACTTTTCTCAGCTGACCTGTGTGTCTTGAATTAACTGGCCCAGCAGATTCCTTTGGAAGTCACTGTTTTGATGAGACTTTTTATAGGCACCCTAATAAGACTGGGCTGCAAATCTCAAGGTCAGCAGTTCGAAACTACCAGCTATTCCACGGGAGAAAGATGAGGCTTTCTGCTCCCATAAAGATTTGCAGCCTCGGTGCAGGGTCACTATGAGTCGGAACCAACTCCCCGGTACTTAACAACAACAATAAGACTGTGAGGAGTCCTAATGTGGTGCTGTGGGTTAATGTACTGGACTGCAAAGTTGGTTTGAACTGCAAGGTTGTCAGTTCAAGCTCACCAGCTTCTCCTAGGAAACCCTATACAGAGCCACTATGGGTCAGAACCGACTCGGCAGCACTTAACAACAGCAACAACAAGAATGTAAACTGTAAGGTCGGCCATTCAAACACAACAGCTGCTCCTCAGAAACCTTATACAGGGTCACTATGAGTCAGAACCAACTCGATGGCACTTAAAAACACCACAACATGATGAGACTAAAGCATTAGTGATAGAACTTGTCTGCAGTCATCCACGGATCTCAGAGACATTATTAAATATGTTTTGTTTAGAATAAACCCGACCAGGTATGAACTGGAACTCTAGGAGCAATACTTTTTGACTTACTGTCACATACACAACGAAACAGTCATCATTTTAACTGTCTGTACACATACAATTCAGTGATGTTGAGTACGGTCTTTGAATTCTGCAATCATTCTCACATCCTTTTCTGAGTTCTTCCTCCCTCATTCATATAAACTCACTGTTCCTAAGGTTCCTATCCAATCTTTTGAGTTGCTGTTGTCACTTTGAGCCCATGCTGAGATAGCTCTAGGTTCTTTGTAAGGGATTGTTGAAAAAACACAAGAAAACCCATGTGGAAGGAAATTGAAGTATAGCCAAAATCTGTGAGGGTAGGACATTGATTAAGACGGATTTATTGGAATAAGGTTGCATGTATGAATGACAGGGAGGACAAAGTCAATCTGTCCTTGACTTTTGAGCACTCAGCTTAATAAGAAATCACACTGGTAACAAGCTACATAAATAACTTCACACTCCTACTTGTATCTACTAAATCCAGATGTGTTGGAAGTGTACGAGATAGTGGAAATGAGAGAGAAGTCTGAGACTTCTCAACCTGAGTTCTGATAAAACAACTAATTTTCAAAGAGCGCTGATGATTTTGGAGAATGCTTTTTCGAGGAAGGTTTGTAAATGTAGAACAGCCAGTGGTTTTTCAGTTACAAAAGCTGATGGTCATGTACTTCCACCCTTTTGGCTCTCTGAACAGCATCATGCTGGTGGGCAAAAGCCTTACGAAAGGTGGCAATAAAAGGAGCAAAGAAGAAAGTGGTTGATCCATTTTCTAATAAAGATTGTATGATGTGAAGGCACCAACTATGCTCAAGATAAGAAATATTGGGAAAACATTCTAGTTATAAGGACTCAAGGAACTAAAATTGCAGCTGATGGCCCCAAGAGTTGTGTTTTTGAAGTGGGCCTTGCCGGTTTGCAGAATGAGAAAGTTGCATTTAGAAAATTCAAGCTCATTACTGAGGATGTTCAGGGCAAGAACTGCCTGACCAACTTCCACAGCATGGATCTTACCCATGGCAAAATGTACTCCGTGGTCAAAAAAAAATGGCAGACCATGACTGACGCTCATGTTGATGCCAAGACTGCCGATGGTTATTTGTTCTGTGTTGTTACTGTTCTGTGTTGGTTTTACTTTAAAAATGCAACAACCAGATTCAGAAGACAGCTTACACTCAGCATTAACAGGTCCACCAAATCCAGAAAGAAATGATGAAAATCATGACCCAAGTGGGGCAGACAAATGACTTGAAAGAAGTGGTCCAGAAATTGATTCTAGACAGCACTGGAAAGGTCATAGTCAAGGCTTGTCAGTCTACCCTTTCTACGATATGTTCATTAGGAACGTAAAAGTGCTGCAGAAGCCCACGGTTGTTGAGTTGGAAAAACTCATGGAGTTTTATGGTGAAGGCAGTAGTTCTGAAAAAGTTACTGGAGATGAGTCAGGTGCTACAGTTGAATGAGCTGACAGCTATGAGCCACCAGTTCAAGAATGTGCTTCAAATTCAGACTTTTAATGATGACAAACAAAAGATCTTATTTGTTAAAAAAAAAAAAAATACTGATGGTCAGCAATTATGAGGTTTTGAATGAAACAGTTATCGGATTCACAACAAATCCTTAATGATGAACTGTTTGTTGTCTGTCTTCCTTCTTTGTAGGTGAACATAGTACCACTTATTGCCAAAGCAGATACAATTTCCAAAAATGATTTGCAGATGTTTAAGAGTAAGATAATGAGCGAATTGGCTGACAATGGCATCCAGATCTACCAGATTCCAGAAGATGATGAAGCAAGTGCACTAGTGAGTGTAAGTGTCTACAAAGTTTGTTGAACACCAATTCTGTCTTATACATGGAAATGGAAATACAGTTTATAAATAACCGTGTTATCATAAACAGACTATGAAGCAGATAATGGATTTGTCAATGTTCAGTGTATGTGAAAAAAAATGGTTTTCTTTTTTAGATAAAAAAAAAATGTCTTCTGTGAATCGCTTCTTAAACACATCTTTATTCCTCTTTCGACTAAGGTGATACATTTGTGAGCGTTAGACACACTCTTAGTGGGAACATGCTTAATGGTTTTAGAAATGTTTATTTTTACTTTTTTACTTTAAACATGGGAGACTTGGTAGGCTCCCATTAAAGACATTAGAATCCTACTCTTTTAGTCAAGAAAATCTTTCTAGCTAGGGATTTGATCTTGCTTTCTTTTATGTCGCCTGAGATGGAACCCTGATAAATACGAAGCCTATTCTAAGCATCCAAAGGAGTCCTAGTGTGGCGCTGTAGGATCAGCACTGGGCTGCTAACCACAAGGTTGGCAGTTCAAACCCACCAGCTACTCCTTGGAGACCCTACACAAGGTAGCTATGAGTCAGAACTGACTCGATGGCACTTAACAACAACAAGAAGCAATCAAAGACATTTTTTAAAATTTTACCTTATAATTTTTGAGATAAGGAGCCCTGGTGGTACAGTGGTTAAGCACTCAGCTGCAAACAGGAAAGGTAGTGATTCAAACCCACCAGCCGCCGTGTGGGAGAAAGATGTGGCAGTCTGCTTCCATACAGATTTACAGGCTTGAAACCCTATGGGGCAGTTCTACTCTGTCTTGTAGGAATCGATTAGACATTGACGGGTTTGTTTTGTTTTGTTTTTGTAATTGTGAAATAATTGCAGACCTATATGCAATTGTTAAAAACAATACAGAAAGATCCTAGATACGAACCCAGTGTCTCCCTGTGATAACATCTTAGAAAACAATCATATAATACCGTAACCAGAATACTGGTATCGATACATGTGATTTTCATCACCACAAGAGTCCTCATTTTACTCTTTTATAGCCACGTGCCCTTCCTCCCGCCCTCCCCCTTAATACTTCTTACCCCTGGCAACCACTAACCTATTCTCCAAATCTATAATTTTGTCATTTCAAGAATGTCATATTAATGGAGTCATACAGTAGCTGGGGTTGACTTTTTTTCACTCAGTGGAATGCACTGGGGATTTATCCAAGTTGTCATGGGATGGGTACCCAGAGTTCATATCTTTGGCTGAGTAGTCTTCCACAGAATGACCATACCTGATTGTTTAACCATTCATTTGTTGAAGGCCATCAGGATTATTTCTGGTTGGGGTCGTTGCAAATAAAGGTATTGTGAATGTTTACATATGGATAGCTTGTGTACTAAAAATCTTTCCTCTCTGTATTCCCCGTCAGGGTGTGTTGCCTGAGGGTCAGTTTGGTCAGCCGGTTGTGGTCAATACTGGCCTGCCACTAATTTTTCACAATATTCACTGCCAAGTGGTCACATTGGAAGCAGGGAGAACTCTCATTTATGAAAGTTGTATGACGGTAGTCTTGTCTTGGGATTTCTCATTTTTAGAGTGGGCTATAATAGTGTGGAGTCCTGGTGTGGTGTTGCGGGTTAATGCGCTGGACTGCAAGGTCGGTTTGAACTGGAATGTCGGTGGTTCAAGCTCACCAGTCACTTCTCGGAACCCCTATACAGGGTTGCTATGGGTCAGAACCAACTTGACGGCACACAAAAACAACAACAACAGAGTGGTGTGAAGGAAGGTGATTCATGTCGTTTTTCCTTTGCAGGGACATCTACCCTTTGCTGTGGTAGGGAGCATGGAAGAGGTTAAAGTTGGAAAAAGAATGGTCAGAGGCCGTCAGTACCCATGGGGAGTGTTGCAAGGTAAATATGAAGCTTGTGAGAAGACTTGAGAACAATTATAGAAGCACACAATGGAAATCTCCTCGTCTACTCAAAAGAGCATTTTAACTTTAACTCTTGCTTTGTGGTAAATTGGCAACATGGTGGTTCCGTGGTAGGGTTCCAGCCTCCCATGTGGGAGATGCCCAGCCTGGCCACTCATGTGCAAGCTCCACCCATCTGCCAGTGGAGGCCTATGTCCGGTTATGGCCCCAAACAGGTTTCAGTGGAGCTTCCAGACGATGCAGATTAGGAATAATGACCTCGTGATCTAGTTCTGGAAGTCAGCCAATGAAAACTCTATAGCTCACAACAGTCCAATCCTTAACTGAACAGCAGTTCTGTTCCATTGTGTACAGAGTCCCCATGAGTCAGAGGACGGCTCCAGGGCAATTAATAGCAACAACAAAAGCAGTAAATTAACAGCTCCCCACATGGCGCCGTGGGTTAATGTGCTAGACTACAAAGTCGGTTTGAAACATGAGGTTGGTGGTTCAAACTCACCGGACTGACTCAATGGCACTTACCAACAAACAACAACAAATGCAAGAGAAAGATGAGGCTTTTTGCTCCTGTAAAGATTTACAGACTCAGAAATCCTTTGCAGGGTCGCTATGAATTGGAACTGACTCGACAGTACACCACCACCACCACCACCCAGTGAGTCCTGGTATGACACTGCAGGTTAATGCACTGGACTACAAGGTCAGTTTGAACCATAAGGTCAGTGGTTCAAGCTCACCAGCTGCTCCTCGGAAACCCTATACCGAGTCGTTATGATTTAGAACCAACTAGACTGCACTTTAACCACCACTATGAGTCCTGGTATGGTGCTGTAGGTTAAACACTAGACTACTAGCCACAAGATCAGTGATTCAAGGCCACTAACTGCTCCTTGGAAACCTAAAACGAATAGTTAAGAGTCAGTATCAACTAGAGGGCATTTAACAACAACAAAAACAATCAGGAGCATGGAGTCCTGGTGTGGTGCTATAAGATAAGCACTGGACTGCCAACCATAAGGTCGTAAGTTCAAATCTACCAGCTGCTTCACAGGAGAAAGATGAGGCTTTGGGCTCCCACAAGATTTATAGCCTCAGAAACCCTGCATTAGTTGGAACCGACTAGATGGCACACAACAACTATAATAACAACACTAGGCACAGTGTCCTGGTGACGCTACAGGACACAGACTGAACTGCTAACCATGAGGTCGGCAGTTGAAATCCACTAGTCGCTCAGATGGCAGGGGGTTTGGTTTTGGGGGTAATGAGAAGCACAAACTGTTTTCATTTGAGGTAATGCTTATTTGACTAGGATTCCTTTGACTAGGATTCATTCTTATAGGAATTTGCTAGATGCTTCAGGTCAAAATCTAGAGGCCAGGCAGAACCTAATTTACCTATACTTAGGAGAATATTGGAAGTACCATGGCCTACCAAAAGAATCAACAGATCTGTGTTGGAAAAAGTGCAGCCAAAATGCTCCCTGGAGGCTAAGATGGCCAAACTT